CCGTACTATAGCGCTCCTGTAACATAGCGGGTTGCAGTTGCATAAAGTGTTAATGTCTGCCGAGGACAGTATTGGTGGGTGTGAAACCCGTCCGAACTCCGGTGACAGTCCTCATAGGATAGATTCAGAGAGTCTTAAAATGGAAACGGACGCGCACAATATCCTAATTAACCAAAGTGACCCTGACCAGAGAGCCAGGCTATCGGTGGTGAAATACCCAGTTCCGACTTACACTGCACGTCCCGGCTTCCAGACAGACGCATACAGCACAGGTAGTCCTAGGAGTGAAACCGGCTCTCCAGCTCTCTGATACCAGTCTGTGCCAAAACATAGGTTGGAAAAATGTAGCGTGAGCTCCAATAGGCCTTAATAATAAAAACCCAGAGACAGATATTGGGGTGAAAGATGAAGATCAGAGCAGCGAAGCCACCAGCCACTAGAGAGTTCTCACCTCTACCGATGCTCAGATGGAAGGACGATCCTATAATCAAGCTTCATCCTCAGACTGCGTCTGTCTCCACCGAACCTCAGTCTGCACTGAGCTCCCGTCTCCTTCCGCCTTACATTCCTCTCTAGTGCTGGGATTAAAGGCGTGGGATCCCAAGTGTTGGATCACCTTTTGTGTGAGCTCTGTTTCTCTTTTAGACTGGATCAGTTTCAAGTAGCTCAGGGTGACCTTGAAGTAGCAGAGATCTGCCTGCCTCTGTGTCTCCCAAGTACTGGAATTAAAGGTGTGCGCCATCACTGCCTGGCCTCTATGGCTAACTAATGTGGCTAGCTTTGCACTCTGATCTCCAGGCAAGCTTTATTTATTAGGTCATAAACAAAATATCACCACAGAAAAAGGATACCATCTTTAACAAAGGGTGATGGGAAAACTCCATAATAACATGTAGAAAAATGAAACCAAATCCTTCTCACCCTCTACAAAAGCCATCTCAAGATCCAGCAGAGACCCCAGTATAAGACCTGCAACTTGGAACAGACTTGAAGCAAACATGACATATACATCAGTAGCCAACTCCTGACCAGCTCCAGTAGCTCAGGACATAATAGCAAGAATTGAGAAATTGGATTGGACCAATTTAATAAGCGTCTTCCCTGCAGAGGAAGGGATTACCATAATGAAGGAACTGGACTACAAAATGGGAGAAATGTTCTCCAGCTAGTCATCGACAAGGAATTAATATTCAGAGTGCAGAAGGACACAAAGAATTAAACACAGGAATAATAAGTAATCTAGCCAAAACATGTACGAGTGAATTGAACAAAGAGGTCTCCAAAGACGTACACAAGGTCAGTAAATAAGTGCAAAACTTCTCAACACCCTTGGTTACAAAGGAAAGGCAATCAGAAGTGCACTGAGACTCCACCGCACCCCAGGTCAGTTAGTTAACATCAAGAAAACAACAGAGGGGGCTGGAGAGATGGCTCAGTGGCTAATAGCACTGGCTGCTCTTCCAGAGGTCCTGAATTCAATTCCCAGCACCCACATGGAGGCTCACAACCATCTGTAATGAGATCTGGCGCTCCCTTCTGGCCCGCAGGCAGACATGCAGACAGAGCACTATCCATAATAAGTAAATCTTGAGAGAAGAAAACAACAGTGGCAAGTGGGAGTGATGCTGAGGGGGCAGAAAGGAACCCTGATACTGTGTAGGTATACAAATTAGTTCAGATACTGTGTAGGTATGCAAAATTAGTTCAGATACTGTGTAGGTATGCAAATTGGCTCAGATACTGTGTAGGTATGCAAATTAGTTCAGATACTGTGTAGGTATGCAAATTAGTTCAGCTAGTATGGACGTCAGTGTGGAGAGTCCTGGCAATATAAAAAGTGGAAGCTAAGAGATAAATACTACCGGTTTGGTGTGGGGGTATTAGCCTCCTTGAACCTCAACTTCTTTATTGATTTAAAAGGTAAATAAGTGACAGTGACTTCCTTGGAAAGTTTCAAAGGTCTATAGGGATATTCTGAGAACTCTATGGCAGACTATGGAGAAATGTTGAGCCTTACTTTAAATGTATGAAACTGCTTTTTTTTTTTGAGGTAGCTTGTGTATGATTTGTATGAAAGTACTTATTTTCAGGGATCAGAAATTAAAATATAGTCTTGTGTAGCGGGCATTTTCTTCTCTTTTGGGCTGCCAACCGGCTCCCGAATCAGGACACGGAGACTTACTAGTTATGAAAGCTCGGCCTGGTTTAGGTTTGTTTCTGGCCAGCTCTTTACTGGAGTTAACCTGTTTCTCTTTATCTACTTTTTACTTGTCTTTGCTTCTGTATGTCTTCCTTTCACTTGTTCTCCAGTCTCTCTGTCTGTCTGTCGGTTGGTCTGTCTGTCTGTCATCTGCCTGGCTTCTTGCCCTGGGTGTGTCCCTCTCTTTCTCCCTCGTTCGTTTCTCCTCCTCCTCCTTCTTTTCAGGCTGGATTTTTTTCCCTCCTACTTATTCTCTCTGCCCTCTAGCCCCGCCTATCCCTTTCCTGCCTACCTATTGGCCCTTCAGTATTTTATTAGACCAATCAGGTGCCTTAGGCCAACAAGGTGGGGTAGGGGGAGGAAATGCAGCGCCTCTTTACACAATTAAACACACATCCTTACGTTGTTAAACAAATGCAGCGTGAACAAATGTAACACATTTTTTTTGTTTGTTTTGTTTATCGAGACAGGGTTTCTCTGTATTGTTTTGGACTCTGTCCTGGATCTCGCTCAGTAGACCAGGCTAGTCTCGAACTCACAGAGATTCTCCTGCCTCTGCCTCCCGAGTGCTGGGATTAAAGGCGTGCGCCACCAACGCCTGGCCTGTAACAGATCTTTATACCGCTAAATATCCCTCAGCTGTCTCTGCCATTCTTTCTCAGTGAAAGCAAAAGTCTTCAGAAGCGGAAGAGATAAAAGCTAAATATCAGTTTTGTATATCAGTTTTGATGATATGGATAAGAAGTGAGTAGCTAGAGAAAGATATTCTGAATAGTGAGAAGACCTACCTGATCTTTTTTTTTTTGTCCTGGGAATGCTGGCCCCCTGAGTCTGTGAGAGTTCATGGCCATACCCCTCCCCTATCTCTGAGTGAGTTCTGGAGTCATTTGTCCATTGAGAGAACTTCCTAGAGTCATTCCTCCAACGAAAGAACTTCCTACTGTATTTGACATTAGCACTTTGTCTTACCATAATGCTTGGTTAAGTAAAATTCACAGTCTAGGATGAATCTTAAGATAATAAATATTAGAAGTTTGGTAATCATTTAGAAACTATGATGTCAGTATGTATGATGGAGAGCCTTCATCCAGTGGCTGATGGACGCAGAGGCAGACACCCACAGCTAAACACTGAACTGAACTCCTGGAACCCAGCTGCAGACAGGGAGGAGTGATGAGCAAAGGGGTTAAGACTTGGCAGGTGAAACCCACAGAGACAGCTGACCTGAACAAGGAGAGCTCATAGGCCCCAAACTGATGGCTGAGAGGCCAGCATGGACTGATCCAGACTCCATGAATGTGGTGTCAGTGAGGAGGCCTCAGCATTATTTGGGGCCTTGGGCAATAGATCAGCATTTAGCCCTGTTATCCAGATGGACTTTGGGAGCCCATTCCACTCGGAGGGATGCTGTCTCTGCCTGGACACATGGAGGAGAGCCTAGGCCCTGCCCTGGATCGTATCACAGACTTTGGAGATCCTCCATGAAAGGACTCACCTTCCTTGTAGAGTGGAGTGGGGATTGGGGGAGGGTTGGGGGAGGGTTGAAATGGGTTGGAAGAGGAAGGGAGGGAGAGGGAGCTGGGATTGACATGTGAAGCAAACTTGTTTCCAATTTAAATTAAATAAAAAATTTAAAAAAAGTATAATAAGATGGGGGGAAAGCTATAAAGTGACTGTTTAAGGAAAATGCTAAACCCTGTCTGTGATTTCTAAATTACAAATATGAAAAGGGGTTCCTGGAAAAAATTAGCCTAATATTTTTATTTTCACATGAATACGGATGCATTTTTTTCTGCAGATTTTTAAATCTACATATTTTACAGTTGCAGAGAAAGAATGGACACTGGAGGTTTACTCTGCCAGGAACTTGGGAGTTTTTGTACCTGCCTCATTTTATTCATTCAAGTGAACCCATTAGATGAAAAGTCGGGATTCTGTGTCACTGTTGGTAGAACACTGATGCTTTGAAGTGATTAGAAAAATTAATTAAAAAATACGGATTTCTACTTAATCAAGCATTTCCCATAATTTGGAAGAAAATACATACAAATATATGGACTTCTTTATTTTAGACAGGCTATTTTCTCCATAGCCTAGCTGTCCTGCATATCAGGATCACCTCAAACTTAGACATCTACCTCCCTTTGCCTCCCAAGTGCTGGGATTAAACGTGTGGGCCACCAGACCTGGCTATAAACTTGCTTTAATTAAAACTAAATAAATATTTAAAATTAATGTGGCTGTCTTTCCAATGTTATTCAAGTGAGGACAGTGCTTTAATGAGTTTATATTTCAGTTACCTTTGGCTTGAGAAAAAAAAAGCACAATAAAATGACGCCCCTGCTCTTAAGCTGTTAAAAATTATCCTGTGCATAGTAAAGTCACCAATTTAAACAGTCTTTCATATCTCATTAAAATTATTTTTTGCTTCATACGTATTTATTTTAGATACTCTTGCAGGGAAATCGATTCAATCAAGTCTTTCTGACTGCAGTCTGGAATCCTGATTAAATTTGGACAGTTTTAAATTAAATCCTCTCTAATTTAGTCCGTTACTTTATCAAGATTTAATCTGTGTTCAGTCTCTAAATAGTAACTGGCCTGTGCAAGCAGTCTGAGGATGCGGTTCCATGGTATGGCGTTTCAAATCTACCATATACATCAGGCTCTTATTTCAGTGGCTAGCATCCCACACCACACAAATTAATAATGGTAAAATTTAAACGTAAGAAATAAAATATAATCAACTATCTGTTGCGGGTGATCCTGCTCGGACACCCCTTGGGGAGGCGGTGAGAAAACGCAGCAGCACCAATGACTCAGACACCGGAAGTCAGCGAGCAGCAGAGCAGGCTGCAGAGTCATTCATTGAGGAAGTAAGACCTGACTTTATACCCCCTCCCAAGGTCCCATTGGCTCAGGCGCTGACTCTGCTGTGTGTCCTTTCCTCATTGGTGTTTCTGGTCAGGTGTCCCTGTCAGCATCTCTGGGCATAGAGTCAGGCTTGGCTCAGGAGGAAGTGCCTGCTGCGCATGCTCAGGCTGGCTGACCTGGGTACCAGGGGTAGGGCGTGGCTTGGGTTGCTGGCTGCAGTTTCTTCTACAACCGACCTTACCCAAATTTGCATGCTGTATCTTGGGCTTAAGGACATCTTTTTCTTGGATAATTGTTTTGAACCTTGTCTGGTTTTGCTGTCTGACGTCAGGAATTATTCCAAGTAAGTAAAATCTCAGGGTAAATTAGTTTTAAAACACAACAATTAATGGAAAAAAGAAAAAAAGAGGCCATGTATTTGAAATGGAGCAAGGACAGGTATATGGGAGGATTTGGAGGGAGGGGGGAAATGTGATTATATTATAATCTCAAAAGTAAAACGTAATAAAATCTTGGGCATAATCATACAGTTTATTTTAAAGTCAGGAGTATATAGCTAAAAAAACCTATCAAACAGAATTCTCTGTTTTGCTTAAAAAGTATCTAACTCCAACACGGTGTGAGTTACTTGTGTTGTTTAAAATATTCGTGGAGTTAGGGCCAGCAAGAGGATGGCTCAGAGAGTAAAGACACTCACCACCGTGCTGGTGGGCTTGGCTTCTGTTTCTAGAATCCACGCGGTGAAAGGGGAGGACCAATACCCGTGTTCGTCAGCTGTCTTCTGAGATCCACATGCTGTGACACAGGAACTACCTCTCCCTGGAAATGAAATGAATGTAATAAAAAAATAGAAAATAAAAAAATCTGTGCAAGCAACATCAAAACAAAAAAAAGCAGGCAGAGAAAATTATTTTTAATAACACCCATTTTAACCCGGCGGTGGTGGCGCACGCCTTTAATCCCAGCACTCGGGAGGCAGAGGCAGGCGGATCTCTGTGAGTTCGAGGCCAGCCTGGTCTACAGAACGAGTTCCAGCACAGCCTCCAAAACAATACAGAGAAACCCTGTCTCGAAAAAACAAAAACAAAATAATAATAATAATACCCATTTTAGCCCAGTGTCATATACATCATTTCCGTTTGTGAGCAATATTGAAAAGCATTACTGTAATACTAACCACTTTTGTATTATCTTCAAAATAGAATACACACGTTCTGCTTAGAGCACACATCATAGTTAGATTTAAAATTCCAGCTCCACCATTGTTCTGGCCTTTTCCAGGTGTTCAGTAGACACCTCTGGTAATTGGCTGCCATATTGGTTATTTAGGGGAAACAGCATTTCAGGTTCTACCTTTGACCAGGGAGAATTTCTATTCTGCTTTTTGGAGTCAGTGGTTGGAAGCTATCATAATATGATTGACTATACCTCATACTTCAGTTAACATACCGATAAAAGGTCATGTTCAGGCCATATTCATTATTCTGAGATAGAATGTAATGATCTATGCCAGGAATTGCCTTTCATCTGTTACATTCTGTTTCAAGTGACGTAAAGTTGTAAAAAGAAAACAATGAGAGCTAACCTCAGAAATTGCATGCTTTTTTTCCTCCAGCTGAGCAGAAATTACTAGTTAGGCATAACTAAAATTATTACATAAAAAAGTTGTATTCACTGATGCCCAATGTGTCGTGGGACTTTCTTTCCCCCAACTGGTGCCTCCATTAATGAATTATGCTTATTAATTTAGGCCTGAGCTTTGTCAGCTTATTTTATTTGCAGAATCTATGCTATCTCAATACTTTCTCCTAATATTAAAAATATATCTGTACAATTATGTGCTTATAACTTAAAATATAACATGATTGGACATCACGTTTTTTCCCTTGTGTGTGTGTTTGTATGGGTATGTGGTTCATGTATGCGTGTGCACAAGGGCATATAGGAATACAGGTGTTGATGAAGAGGTAGACATCCGTGTCCCTGTCACTCTCTGCCTTGTGTGTTAAGACAGGGTAGCCCACTGCCCTGAAACTGCGGCACACTGATTGGCTGTTTGGCTGACCAGCACCTCCCTGAGTCCTCCTAGCTCGGATTCCCTGGTGCTGGGAGCACAGCTGTGTGCTGTCATGCCTTTTTTTTTTAAATATGGTGAGTAGCATCCAGACACTGGGCCTCATGCTTGCATCGTAAGTTCTTTACCCACCAAACCTTCTCCACAGTTCCAACACATTTTTGAAGTTTTACTTTAGTGAGGAAGATTTAGTGAAATACTTTTATATGTTAATAGCTTGGGAAGAGTCAACCTTCTAATGAAATGAATCTAAACTAGCCCCGGGGTGGACTTAGGAATTACTCTGAGACCCTGCTCAGTTCTTTAACTATAATGAAAATCACATTTGATAGGTTTTACACTAACTTGAGTAACATTGGAAGAAAACATTATTTAATGTTCTGTTTAGCTGTTGGAAGATGATAATTTACTACGTTCATTTTTTTTCTTAACCTACGGGCATCTCCCAAACACGCCTGCCTTATTCTTTGGTCTGCTTTTCTTCATGCTTGGTTGTTTTTAATTTTCCATTACGACTGTTGATTTCTCTAACACCGAGTGTATTTTGGGAACAGTGTCTGTCAAGGGTTCAGTTGTGTTCTGTGTTTTTACTTTATCACAATTTGTAAGTCACCATCAGGGTTCTTCATTCTGGTTCATAAGTTGCAATTGGTACAGAGAGGGTTTAATTTGCTGTTTCTGGCCCCAAACCAAAATTGGTAGTCTAGAGTGAAGACTAAGGATTCTTCTTCTTCGCTCCACACCTCAGGAGAGGACAGGTGGGTGTCCATTTGGCCTGGGCTATGGGAAAGCGCTGTGGGTTTCCCTGTTCTGGTGTCACCATCCTCGAAAATGTTCCCTCTCCTCAGACATTTTTACTAGAGGGCATGAATTGCATTCTTTGGTACCGTTATGCAGATTAATGCTTGAAACTTATAAGGCTGGCTTTTCAGAACATTAAAGGAGTTTTCATTCTTGGTGGGTCCAAAATTGCAGTTTTGGATGTAAGTGGTAGCTTAATAGGATAGAATAATAGTTTGGGGAATGCATGAAGGTTTAAAAAAAGAATGCAGGGAATTATCAAGCTTCCACTGGTAAATAAGGCACTAAATGATATTTTAACCTAATGTTTCTCAAGTAAGTGTAAAACCTATCAA